TTAAAATATCTAAAAATTTGAATAGATACATATCTAGAAATAACTTTGTTATATCATCAAAATAATTATGTAAGATGCTTAATGATAATAATACTGCACAGTTATTTATATTTTATCAAATTTTTAATCCTATATTATAATTATTTTGATAGCTTAACGGAATTAAATTTTTAAATTTTTGTATTTGTTAAAAGTTTTAGCTACTTTAGCAAAATTGTTTTCGATACAAATATAAAGTTATGTTATTTTATAAAATAACATAATTTTATATTTGTATTGAAAACAATTAACCTTACTAAATTTACCTAAACCTATCTAAACTTTCTTAAGCATCTTTAATAATGATAGCTATTTATCATATTAATTTTTTTCAATAATATTTATCATTTTTTAAAAGATTATAACTCATTTTTTAACAAAAATTGAGAAATGAGAGATGATAAATCAAATTATTATTTGCAAGTCGATGAGAAGTTAAAATTCAATTATAATTTCATAATGATAAGATAATGATTCATAAAAATAAAAATCACAGAATTTTACCATCAGCATGAAAAATTAGCTTCGACATATTCATAAATTTGTATTTGTTTCCTTAAATGTATATGCTATCACCAACAAGCACAAAAATCGATCATTCAAACTGCTAAGATAAGAATTTTAATACATACTTTTTTTTATTCTTTATTTTTTCTATTCTTATTTTTTCTATTCCTTCCCTAAAATTTTTAATATTTTTGCAAATTTTAATTTTTGCTGCAACTTTTAGAACTTTAATAGCACACGCTCCACAATAATGATTGATTTATAAATCTTTACATAGACATAGAGCTAACTTAATGGCATTTTTATCGTTTGCGCGATCACGTCTTGCATTACACGACGTATGTACACACATTTCTATTGGCCAGCTTTCATCGGTGACGTAAGTTCCGGCGTTTACTCGTTTTGAGGAAAGAAAGACTCTCACCTCGTCACGCGCAAATCTCCTCGGTTGAATGAATGTTGCGAGACGAAATAAACCGTGAAATTATTTTTGGAATTATAAATTTTACAAATTTTCGGATCTTTTAAAAAGACAAAATTAAAATTATACGTAGAAAAATGAAATAATCCATGCCGTTTTTTAATTATCAATTTTAATCAAATTTTATTCTGTTTTTCATTTCTTCTGTTTTTATCTTCTGAAAATTATTTAAACATGTGTACATATATACTTCAAACATATATACTTCGCCAACACTTTTTATAAATTTACATCTTTTATCGTTATTATACGTTATAAAAATATAATGAACAGTATTATTTCGTTCGTGTCGTTTCGTTCGAAAAAGAATTAGTTCTTAGAATAAGTTCTTTTTCTATTGAAAGAGGAAAAGAGCCGTTTGAATGAAACGTATCGAGTGAAAACCGCGTTCGATAGTTAACAGAGGCTCTTGCTTTTGCAATCGCAATAAAGTGTATCTCGATGGGCCTAGTTCTCAGAGTAATACTCTGGAAAGTGATGCGCGTGGGTATAAAGAGAGAAAAGATCTCAAGACAACTATCTGGCGCGCAATGCCGCGGCAAAAGTAACAATGTTCGCTGCAACGCACATAAACTTATGAAAATAATTTCTAGGTCGCTACAGATCTGTGATCTGATGTTAGTCAAATGCTGGAACAACATTTATTTCTTAAACAACTAAACAGCTTCTTATCAGAATTATTATTAATATTATTATATAATAATTATAATATTATTCCTTTACAGATAATAAACCCGCAATATATTATGTGTTAGAAAATATAATTGGCATTGAATATTAATTCAGTGATGGACTGGCAAATGGAGACTTTACTCGCAGCATTTTATAAAAATTATTTCGAAAAACTGCAATAAAATTGCAATTATTTGTTCAGTTGACACGAATAATTGACAAAACGTAATATATTATAGCTACGTTCTGCTTTAGCTTCTGCTTCAGACTGTTTAAGGCTCGACAATTAACATAATTGATCGCAAGTTAATAATCAGACATATTTAATTGCATAATCGATATCACGAAAAAAGCGTATTCCAAATACTATTTAAAATGCATAGTAAATTGTACAAATCGATAAATAGTCATTATGAGCGAATAAAGTAAATTAGTATGCAAAAAGAGAACTTATTTATTTTTTCTTTTTTGCTTTTTAATTGTACGCGAAGCATAATAGCGTAATAAGAATAATAGCCAATATTATATATCTTCTAATAATGCGCTTGATGAAATAAACGCTCATTATCAAAAATATTATTTCGGTTAATACCGACACTAATCATTACGCTTCATTTCTTCTAACTGCTCCCGCGATAAATTTTCGTAAATAAAACGGAGACCTTCTCTTGCTCGTTTCGTTCAATATTTATAATGCTAATTGCAGATCTATATTAGCTAAGCATATCAAGGATATC